TTTTGAAATCCATAGTACCGAAGAATTTCCCTCAATATGATGAAGTATTTGAATTGTTGAAAAAATATTTTTTTTATAGTTAAGATTTAACTCGAAATCGTGCAAATGAATTCCTAACCTAATTTATCGACCACATATGACCCGTACGTGTTTCCTGAACAATCACAATTCTATTTATTTGAATTAATTTATACAATAGTCATGCCTATTATTTGAGAGCAGTAATCAATGAGCTATAGGCACCTCAAATGCCTGCAAATATGTTTGATGCTATAAAGTGAGCTATAACATCACGTTAACATAAGGAATAATTACTCAAAAAAACATACACTTCTCAAATTCACGAATTTTGATTACAAATTACTGTAAAAATCTAAATTTTCTATGAACATGTAGAGAAAACTTATTTGAGCGCAAGCTAAACCAAATCTGTAACACGAACCGTTAGAATGATAATAAATGCGAGTTCCAAGATAATAATGATAATAATCATCCAAGAAAAAATCAACAACGACCATGCCGGCGACTATAACGAAAATTTGTAAGATTGAATGATATTATTCGAGACAATTATATTGATCGGTGAACCCTATAATTGTATACATCGGCAGCGTCTCTCAACCCTGACATTCTAGGATGCTAGAATTGCACTAATTACGGTAAATTATCTCTTGTGATATAATTTTCAGGTAAAGACGGTTGCTTACGGAAACCCTGCCCCCAATGCTTGATGAAATGATGGACAACCCTGCCCCCAATGAATGTAAGGAAGGTAGTACAACATGGAGGGGACAGGTGAATGTAAGGAAGGTATAGTACAACATGGAGGGGACAGGTGAATGTAAGGAAGGTATAGTACAACATGGAGGGGAATATAGTATAGAATATAAATAAGGAATATAAAATTCCTCCCTTTCGGAATCGAAAGGGAGGAAGATATTAATGAGGAAATATCCAGGGACGAATGGTATCAACATTATCACCTGACAATAGTGCCTTGAAAGTGTGCAAACTAACCAATAGGCAGAAAGCAGTTGTAACACGTATCCTACTGCACTTTCATGCAAAAACTGCCCACATTTATAAAATGCTAGTAATCCCTACATATGTTTCCGAATATTTTATTTGCATCAAATTAAATTCTCGACTAACTAATTAAACACTCCGTTATTTTGGAACAGAAATAAATCCCATAAGATGACCTAACAATTTTGAAATCAATCGTACTGAAGAATTGCCCTCAATATGATGTAGTATTTAAACAATTTAATGAAAAACCTAATTTTTTATTTATCAATAGTGAATTTCTACTTAGAAATCGTGTAAAGGAATTCGAGATCTAATCCATCAATTACATATGACCCGCACATCTTTCCTGAACAATCCCTATGCTATTGATTTGAATTAAATTATACGATATTAATGCCTATTATTTGAGAGCACTTATCAATGAGCTATAGGCACTTCAAATGCCGGAAAATAGGTTTGGCATTAGAAGTCGGTGATAAAGTAAGTTCAGTGGCTGGGCTAAACCGATGGCCAACCCAGCCCCCAGTGCTTGATGGAATGATGGACAACCCTGCCCCCAATGCTTGATGGAATGATGGACAACCCTGCCCCCAGTGCTTGATGGAATGATGGACAACCCTGCCCCCAGTGCTTGATGGAATGATGGACAACCCTGCCCCCAGTGCTTGATGGAATGATGTACAACCCTGCCCCCAGTGCTTGATGGAATGATGGACAACCCTGCCTCCAGTGCGTGATGGAATGATGTTTTTTGGGTTGATTCAGAGAAACGTGATTGATTTTTTTATTCATATATTTTAAACAAACTTTTTCTCGTAGAAGCTTTCAAGTCCAAAATATTTCACATCCGCTGCTTTCCATTGCTGAGTAACCTCGTAAGCTTATGCTCGATAATGTAACTCATATTCAAATGAATTTTTGCAGTTCAATTATTTAATATCAATATATTGCTCGACATGTTGCAGAATCCCATCAGACGTGCTGATTACTCAAAGTTTGAACCCAAATCTCACGGGTTCATCTCTAATTTAGTGCTTTCAACCTTGTTTTCCATAACATGGAACCATGATTTCATCAATGTTGTAGTATTCACAACAATTCCTATCTTTATTGGCATTGTTGAAGAGTTCAAAAAGCGGACGAACCTTATAGAATCGATCGCTATCCATTTTCATATTAGCGTTGAAGTGCAAGCTTCTCATAATTTGATCAAAGGGGTCCCGTCTCATTGAATTCATAACAAATTTATTTTAAGTGTCTGGTAATACACTCCCACAGAGTCATTCTGTGAGGAATCTTATTGTACCCTGAGAGAATATGAATGGCTAGAAATATCTTCATATTTTCTGTATTTATATCGCTACAAGGAAATCCTTTCTGATTAGCATGGTTTCTGTTCTGTTCACTCAAAACCTCAATATTATTTAATGTTCAAAACCGCTACTCGAAAATTTTCAATGGTTTGGTTGCAGGGGCGTAAAATAACTGTTCCTTTAGTGCATGGAACCACAGCAAGTCGATGTTGAGGTTGGTAGGGTGCGATTTCGAGTTGATCGTCGTTTACAGAATCATCCAGAACATTAGCAAGCAAAATTCTCATTGAAAGGAGAAATTTTGGTCTTCTGCGTCTTCTTGCAATAGGAAAATATCACGAATTTCGTCAAGTGGGAACCTGAAATCAGAGTGAAAAGGAAATTATTGATACCCGCTTTCCAGTGGTAGATTGAAAAAATAACGATTTCATAATTTATATTCGGCTGGCAAGTACATTTTCGACATATGTTTTTGTACCTATAAAGTGATCTTATGATATTAGAATAACAAAAAAGCATACATATATCATTAGGAAATTTTTTAGGAAGTATATTCAGTGTATTCGTTAGTTTTAGCTAGCAGACATAAGTGGTAACTTGCGTTTTTTCTGACGTAGTAGCGCCATTGCTCACAGCAGCAAACTCCGAGGCGAACTAAGCAGGCATGATGCACACAGGCAGCACAGCACAGCGCTGTAACTCGTTCGGAACACGTTCAGTACTCGTCTCGTTACCGTGAGACTACATTTCAAACCACCACATTCGTAGTTTCGGAGAAATTTCATTTTTAATGTGTGGCAAGTAAACTTGTCAAGCGGCCTTCATGGGCTAAACAGAAGGCATTGCAAGCAACGTCTGCAGGAGGTTCTGCACTGCCCTCCTCAGGTGGCGCGAGCGACAAACGTTTCAGTGCCGCGCCTGCCGTCAGTGAGAGAGGATGTCGCGTGCTGCTGTCGGTGCCTGCCTGCTCCGTGAATAGTTCAATTGTTATATCGCGAGTTTCCCATATTAATTCACCGTGAATAATTGTGCTGATGAAGATCGCTTGTGGCGTTCTTACTGATGATGCTGCTGTTGTTGTTGCTGTTTTATTGCTTTTGCTGATTTAGGCTGTTCCTCTTATGATTGTAAAAACTGTGTTATGAGTATTTACAAGAACTTCAAAGAAATCGAAAATAAAATTAACGCAGCCATGAAAGAAAAACCTAAAACGGTGGGTCACGTGCTCGGGGGTGCTGGCCACCCCTCCTCCCTTACAGAATTAATGAATAATTATCATGTACGTGATTAATGAATAATTATCATGTACGTCATGAATGAATAATTATCATGTACGTCATTAATGAATAATTATCATGTACGTCATTAATGAATAATTATCATGTACGTGATTAATGATGCAGGGTCATGCAGCGTCTACTTCGTCATTCAATAATTGAGCCCATATGGCTTAACAAATATATTCATCACGGACTGGTCGTCCCCGGGGCGGATGGTAAGAAATTTCCGAGGACTCATGAAAGCGTTAAAAAGTTTTTTTGCAAATTTATGTCAAAACTGATACAAAGATATAATATGCCCTACAAATCTTTTTTTTCCCATCATTATAAACCTGAATTTCATTTTTTCAAATGATATTTTTGGATATACGTACTATTGAAGACTTTTTCGTATTGATCTTGATAAGAATTAACTTTTCAATTCCTGGGTAACTCATGAAGATTGACATACATCTATTATTTACAAGGCGCCCTTCCATAAATAGAGGACATCAAATTGAAAGAAGTCAGCCTGCGTCTATTATGATATTTGATGGGAAATATGGTCTGATTTAATTGGTGGTGCAATGAACAAAGAAAATTAGTCGCTAGTTTGCTGACATTTGGTGCTCAGGAATCCTTCTTATTCATAAAATTTAAATGCCCCCTGAAATTCATAGCTAATTCATATCCTTCATGCATGCCAGCCATGAAAAACGGAGAGAAGCACCGTTTGAAGAATATCTTTACCACCATCGTCTGTATATGGGGACAAATGGTATAGTTGACTTTGAGCTGTTCCCATTGAGAGGATCTATTTCTCACAGACACGCAACACACGTGAGGACAAACTCAACATTTCAAGATTTCATCTTTGCCGTTTGGAGGCAGACGTCTGAATTTTTTAATCACAGAATTAACATTACACAATTAACATAAAACAATCAACATAACGCAATTGATATCGCACAATAAACATCACACAATTTACGTCACACAATTAGCATGACACAATAATTAGTTAACTAGTAAGCAAATATATTGACGAAATAATGAACGTTGTGAGAAAAAAACTTTTTTTCATAGTTAATGCTGAAATCGTTTTTTAATAAGTCGTACAGAGAAATTTAGATGGTTAACTGAACCCTTTCTGTAGGACATGACAATTCACATATTTTATATATGTTAAGCGGCAAGTGAGGCAACTAAATTAGTTTATAAACATTAAATTTGGGTAAAAATTCATCGTTCATTTACGTACAGAGATTTTAGGAAGCTATATCAAGTAAATAATACCAATATTTTTAATTAATTTTAATTTATTAATCGATGCATTTGACTGAGAGAAATAAACTCTCACGCAATCTGAATTTCAACGATTTGGAATATAATAATTGATATGTTGCCCTCCTCCTGCCCTCCTGCCCTCCTCCTGCCCTCCTGCCCTCCTGCCCTCCTCCTGCCCTCCTGCCCTCCTGCCCTCCTGCCCTCCTCCTGCCCTCCTGCCCTCCTCCTGCCCTCCTGCCCTCCTCCTGCCCTCCTGCCCTCCTCCTGCCCTCCTGCTCTCCTCCTGCCCTCCTCCTGCCCTCCTCCTGCCCTCCTCCTGCTCTCCTCTTGCTCTCCCCCTGCCTTCCTGCCCTCCTGCTCTCCTCCTGCTCTCCTCCTGCTCTCCTCCTGCTCTCCCCCTGCCCTCTTCCTGCCCTCCTGCTCTCCTCCTGCTCTCCTCCTGCTCTCCCCCTGCCTGCCTGCCCCTCCATCCCCTCCTCCCATGATACCTACTATGATTATAATTTGAAATAATTCAATTTATTCTCCCTAACTACCAACCCTACCTTGCACTTCTGAAAACAATGATTGGTCAATTTTGTCCTAATAGCGACACACTTCCTTACCCACAGCACCAGCAGAGAGGTATTGATAACCTATGCAAGGGCAAAACATGCATCGTTATTTAGACAAAGTTCCATTAATATCTTTGAGTGTGCCAATAAATGAACGTTCATGTAGGTTCACGTCATCGTATGTCCAAATAATGATGCACTGTTTGCCCCTGTGTGGGTCAATCTGACCGACTTTGTCCTGGCGAAGGGGCGCGTATCAGTGATACCATGGCGTACAGTAGTTCTATTTGCGCAGCTGTAATGAGTCTCGCTCCCGCAGACGAGCTGAGCCCCCGTAGCAGCTTCATCGCCCTCGAGCTGCCAGAACCCCCCGACCCTCATCCCGACCCTGAAGACTTGCCCGTGACACAACCCGAGTCAAATCCAACCCTAACCCTAGCCGGGGACCCCACTCTGCAGTACAGCAACCCTCTGGGGTCGGCATCGTCCATAACCCTAGCCGGGGACCCGACTCTACGCTATAGCAGGAGCAGCCCCTCTAGCGGGTTCAACAGCGGTTCGTTCGACCAGGTGGACGGGGTCGATGTGAATTCTGCACTCCTAGAATTCAGGCAAGCCGAGGCCAAGAAATTTCAGCGTTGTCAATCAGGTTACAACAAAGGCTTCTACAGTCCAGTGTCTAACAATAATATTTTGGATGTTACTCATCATGATACTCAGATTACGTGCGAGGAGATTACTTCGTGTCATGATACCGACAGCAGAGACTTGGGGTTTGTTGGTAGTTCATCGACAATCGAGTGTTTAGAAGACGGGGAACAATTGCTGGGTACAAACTGCCCTGAAAAAGTACACAGCCGTAAAAATGATTCGTCTGAACTAGAGGACAACACACACGGTGTTCCAAATGCGTGGGTGACAGCCTCGAAGTCCGATATCCAAACTGCGAGCGAGAAGCCAAGGAAAAACATCGCGGATAAAAACAATCTCCGAAAAGCTAGTGTATCAAATTCAAGTCACATACCGCCTCTCACCAATAAATGTTACAACGAAACTGGAATATCTAGCACCCGCAGGACGTTACTAGCCACCACCCTTTCTGTCGCCCGTGGCTGCGTTGGTGCCGATAAAATCGCCAAAAATGATAACCGATTCACCGATGACAAAAACTCAACAACCTATTCGCATACGAAGCTAGCTGGTGTTTCACAAAATGATGATGCATCAATCGCGTCTCCTAAACTGGTACGAAAAACGTCTAATGTAGAACTCCAAACCAAGCATCGCCGTTCCGACAAGTGTGACAGCGAGAAGAAGATAGACTCTGCTGTCAAGTCCACTCTCAAGTTCATCAAGTACAAGAAATACGTTCCCCCCAACGACAACCTCGAAGAGGAGGAAGAACTTGGGGACTTAGACGAAGACTACGCTTATTGCGACATCTCAGCGACTGAAAGTGCCATTTTCGACTCGGTTTGTGACGAGACCGACCTGAAGTACAAGTCTTCCCGCCTCTACGCCCTCAAGAGGAACTACGCTCGGATAGTTGCGCGGGAAAACGCTGCTAGACTCAGTGGCTACAGCTCCAGTCTCCGCGGACACTTCCGTAACTCGCAGGACTCTGACGCTGAAGACGGCGAGCAGGACGTGCAGGACAACGAGCAGCAGGACGTTCATCTCCCGTACGCGACTGTTGGTAAAACAGACGCGGGTGTCGGCAAACGAGCAGCTTCACTTGTACAAGGTGAGATGAATCGTTGTGATTAGAAACTGGAACGCCCGTTTTTTGTTAATTGCGTCTTTTTCGAGAGATTTACGGTATATGGTTAGATTTAGATGAGGCATTAGAATTTTAGCATTAAAGAAAAGTAACGATGTTTGTTATTAATATAAAGGTTGGTGGAAAAGATTGTTATGTTCTTGCGATCACCGAGTAACTTGTTTTTATGAATTGAATGCTATAGTTGCTGAGGAGGGAAGTTTCTTGCTCATTTGGATGTAGAAGAACAGGGGAATGACAGTGATTTTATTCCTTGAGAACTGCCTCCTTAACTTTGATCATATCAATCCCTATGCGAGCGAATGCCTGATGACATTGAAGCTGTGATCTTAGAATTTCTCTGCACTTTTATTAAATAAATTTCAAGAATAACAAGTTCGGTTACAGCATTTCCAAAATACAATGGGTTTTCATGTTTTGCACTTGCATTTCATAAAGAGCTTGTCTTCTGTAAAATGTTTCGTACATACATACGAATGTTGTGTCAACGAGTTACGTGTTCATTGCTGTTGCAGTAAAAAATGGGGGGCCACCCCCGGGTTTTACCCCGCGTCTTTCGCGTATTGATACTTATGCTTGAGCACATTGTATGAGACATCGTGGGATGTAAGATGGTTTAGTTTATTGTAGTTTATTGTAGTTTATTGTAGTTTATTGTAGTTTATTGTAGTTTATTGTAGTTTATTGTAGTTTATTGATATTGATATTAAAATGTAGGGGGCACTGGGATATTCTGGTTGTTCAGCCATGCATACGCTCCACGAAGCGGCTATTTACCCGCGCCACACGAAGCATTTATTGATTTAAATTTGTGAAAGTTTTTAGAAAGGCGAAGCGAAGTTTTTCTGTACGAGTGTCATAATTTTTTTATTGCCAAGTTTGTACTCTGCTAAACACCGAAACCTGATCTCCGGTACTCTAACAATGATCATAACTGAAAACTTGTGTGGTACCTCAGGAAGCTGCGAAATCAGCGCCTCAGAGGAGAACGACAACGCGTGCTATAGTGACACTGATTGCTACGAGTACATTGAAAACCTCATTCCTCACCTGCCAGTTAAGCATTCCCCAACCGTGGACCGGAGGAAACCCATCCCTAAAACTCCCGGCGGAAAGCAGTCCCACATTCGACCACTATTGGTGGAGCCTAAGACCGAGGAGGCGAAGTCTTCCAAATCTTGTAGGACTTCGAGCCGACAGAATTTGGTGAACTATAGTTCTTCCGTCGGGAGTCCAAACCTGTCTGGGGAAAATTCAAAAATTTTAGGTGCTGTTCCTCGTCCATCCCGTGACCAAAATCGTGAGTACACCCTCGACCAGAACCCTGATCAATCAACGGTCGAACCCTTGACATCTAACGTCCAACGGTCGAACCCTCTGGACGTTCCTGAGTCACGCAATGCGTCTGCTGCGAGGGCAGCGACCGATGTTCTCGATGAACCGACGACCACTGCAGGGAGATCGACGGTATCGGGAGGATCTACGGTAGCCTTCCCCGCCACTGAGGACTGGAGCAACGAGAGCGACTACTGGAAACTGGAACGCGACTTGCCCTCGACGTCGCAGTCTGGCCTCACGCCCGCGTCGTCAAGAGTTGCTGGTACGTGAACCGCAGTAGAAACCCAAGGCCAGTAAAGTGTTCATATGTTGTCCATTAAGGCAACATTGAGGCCACATTCAGGACCTCCCTCAGAGGTGTTCATTCTCGAACCTCTATCCCAAATGGTACTTTTTAAGACCTCCGTTCGAGAGGGTTCTTTCTAATACTTTCCTCTGAAGTGGCTCATTCTAGATTCTTCCTCTAAGGTGGTTCCTTCTAGAAACTTCCTCTAAGGTACCTTCTAGAGCCTTCCCCTACGGTAGTACCTTCTAGAGCCTTCATCTAGGGTAGTACCTTCTAGAGCCTTCCTCCAAGGTAGTTACTTCTAGAGCCTTCTTCTAAGGCTCTAGATCCTTCCTCGGAGGACGTTAAATCAATGTTATTTAAACGTCAGATGTCTGATGGGGATAGAAATATTGCGCAACTGTCGTAAAATTCTTTTAAAAATAATTATACATTTAGAGACCGAATTCTAGCGAGTGTTAAATACGTTACGTTGTTACGTTACATTTTTACGTTACGTTACGTTGTTACATTACGTCCCGCGCAGGACGCCGGGACGGTAAGCAGCGCAGGCGGGACCAGGCGCGCCGCAAGACCCGCGCTGGGGACCAGGAGTTCCCGGGACCGCTGGCCCGGGACGCGCGGCTCAAGGAGTCAAAGTCTGAGTCTGAACTCCGGGACCCAGCGTGCTGGGACAACGGGCCCCTTAGACATGAGATCCGCCAGGTGAGGCCGGGACAACGGGCCTCAGACTCATTTGTCTGAGTATGATGTTTATCCTACCAACATTGTTGTAGTGCTATTCTTACCAGAGTTGTAGCGCTATTATTACCAGAGTTGTAGTGCTATTCTTACCCTGTGTACCCACTCTCTGCCCCCAGCTAGGGGCAGGTGCTCCTGCAGGAGGGGTTGGAGACAATGCAACCCCAGCCTCTCCTTCGTCCAGGTATAGTTTCTCCTATGTATATATTGGGGCAGAATATATTTACATATATATGATATTGGTGTAGTTCTTCAGAATCTTTTCTATTGCGTTGGCACCAGCAAGAAATTTTTTTCGTCTCATTGGAAAATCGAATAAGAAGATTACAAATGAAAAGCATGCTCTGGTCTTGTATCAAACTTGCATTTATTTATATCTATATATGCATAACTTGGGTAAAAGCGCGACGTGTTTAATCTAATTCTCTAAAAAGCTTGTCGTGGAATTGTTTGATCAAAACGTTAGTCATACTTTCGATACTAGTGGTGAGACATTCGACAATAGTGAGACATTTTGGCATATCGTGCGACCGAACGTCTTACAATTAGTGTCGCGGAATGTACATATGACTAGTAATTGCTAATTGTGGGACACAGAAAAAAGATGAATGCTCTTTTGTCTAAATTATGATGCTAACTAACGAAAACCTCGTTAGGTTAGCCATAGGATTAGGCTAGAGGTGTAGGAAAAAGTTTTTTAAAAATCCTTTTACAATTCCACTAAGGTTAGGTCCAGCTAGCAAAGGTTAATTGAAATTTAAAACGGTCTCATTGAAAAACGTCCACTAATCATTGCCGCGGTATTACTAATTTAAAGGGCCGTGTATATATGTAGGCGTATATATATATATATATATATATATATATGTAGGGCCGTGTATATATATATAAACACAAGACATATACGCTTGCTGAAGTCAGCTCCATTTGCAGCGCTGCTGATGGCACCGTATCCAGGATACCGCCTCCATCTGGCCGACTGCCACCAGCTGCTGCAGGTGGTGGCAGGGCTGGTGGATCTGCAGCGGTGGTGGATGTTGGTGGAATAGATGACCAGGGTAAAGACGGAAGAACGAAAGCTGGTGGCGGGCCGCCACCCACAGGCGATGGAGGGCCGCCATCCACCGGTGGTGGAGGATTTGGTGGTGGAGTTACCACCCGCAAGCCATCGTACCCACCTCCCCCCCTCCTCCACCACCACCACCACCACCAACCGCCCCTCCTCAAGACCGTCTCCATCATGGACACGCTCAGCGAACTCGCCGGGGTCACTAAAGACGCCAGGGCCCTGACTCAGGTGCGTCCACTCAATGAAATAATTGAGAATTTGTCCAAAATCCATTAGCTTGTAAATATAGTACAGCATTGTAAATATATAGTATTGTAAATATATAGAATTAATACAACTAAACAACCCCTGCTAACCCCCCGCCCCCCGCAGGGTGCTCCCCCGCTGGTGTCGCCGCAGTTCCGCCACTCCGCCTGCGTCTATGACGCCGTCACCGCCCCCGCCCCCGTCAGTATTATTATTATTATTAGCTTTATTAATACTATTATAATTATTAGTATTATTATTGTGATATTAATTAGCATTATTTCTCGACGAAACGATTGTCATGGCGTCCGGTTCAGTCTTTCCCCCTCACTGGGGGTTGCTGGGGGTTATTGTGTCCTTTGATGAATGTGATGAGTGACTATTGTGATATTAAAACACATTAAAATAAAAATATAATCTATAGACTTCTTACTGTATTATACTGTATTATACTGCATTATATAGCAAATATACAGCGGGGCTTTAATGCTTAATTCTTCCCCTCTTCCCCCAGACCCCCGAGCGGGGGCGCCGCACCCCCGATTGGATCAGGAACATCCTGGACCTGGCGAAGCGAGGGGACCTGCTCGCCCTGGTGGGTGGGGGGACAGTGGGCATGGTGTGGTGACGGGAGGATGATAGGGGTTACGGGGGGATGGTAGGGGGCGGGGGAATGGTAGGGGGATGGGAGCCATGTTTGGTGGGCGGTAGGATGATGGGGGTTACGGGGGGGATGGGAGGCGTGGTTGGGGGGCGGGGGCATGGTAGGTGGACTGCGTGTGGTGGGGGCACGGTGTAGGGTAGGAGGGTTGGGGTGTAACGTATTGTATTGTTTTAGTTACTGAAGGAGTATTTTAATTGAATTTCATGATGGTATATTTATAATAATAAATAACAATTTTATGATAATATAATGATATCATTTCACGCGTAATGATATATTGATTATAATTATAATAATATTAGTTGATAATATAATGATACGACTGGACGCGCAGCAACGCGCTACGTGCGACATGGAGGGCGCGCTGCTGCGTAACCTGAGCGACGCGCGTGGCAACGGCCTGGTGCACGTGGCCGCGTGTCTGGGCCACGTGGCGTGCCTCGCGTGGCTGCTCACGGCGCTGCCCGCCACCTCGCGTGCCCTACACGACGAGAACAAGTTCGGCCACACGCCTGTCGTCTGCGCCGTCAAGGTGCGTCGTAACTAAATTTAGAAGCTGGCCCGACTTTGCTTCAGGTGCCGCCCAAGACTCGGGGGGCGCGTAAATCAGCCGCTAATTTCCGCTTCGGCCGAGCATGAAAGGCGGCTTGTAAGCCGGTACGATTCGGCCAGGCCAACACTTGTCGTACTCTAGGGCGGCTGTAAAGTTGAAAGTGAGAGTCTGACCAGGAGCTGGTTTCGATCGTGTGGCCAAGCAGACCCAAAATAACTTTGCGCCGGGTGTAGCGACTCTTGTCAGAAGCCTGGGCGGTACCCGAATTTTGGTAAGGTCGACTGTGACGTCAAATTATTTTTTACCTATTATTTCTTACCTGCTATTTTTTACCTATTAACTCTTACCTGCTATTTTTTACCTTTTATTTCTTACCTGCTATTTTTACCTATTATTTCTTACCTGCTATTTTTTACCTATTATTTCTTACCTGCTATTTCTTACCTTTTATTTTTTCCCTATTATTTTGTACCTGCTATTTCTTAACCATTATTTCTTACCTATTATTTTACAAGCTATTATTTTTCGCAGTACGGTCAGCTGGAGGTGGTGGCGTGGCTGGTGCGCCACACGGCCGTACGTGAGCGCGTGCGCGGCAAGGAGGGCGAGCGCACGCTGCTGCACCTCGCGGCCAAATACTCGCAGGAACATGTCAGTGCTGCGCGTAGTGTGAGGACATTGATTATAGTGATGATCGTGTAATGTATTGATGTGAGTGCTGCGCGTAGTGTGAGGACATTGATTATAGTGATGATCGTGTAATGTATTGATGTGAGTGCTGCGCGGAGTGTGAAGACATTGATTATAGTGATGATCGTGTAATGTATTAGAGTAAAGACGGAAGAACGATGGTGCTGCGTGTAATGTAAGGAAGGACATTAATTATAATAATGATAATCGACATAAGTAAAATAATTACAATGTAAGATAATAATGTATAAAATGAAATTAATTATAATAGTAATGTAATAAAGGGCATTAATTAAAATAGTAACGTAAAAAAGGACATTAATCGTAATAATAATGAAATTAATTATAATAATAATCGCCCTAATAATAACTATAATCTATAATAACTTCAATAATAGCAATAATATGTATAATAATATGCTAAGATGGTGCGGTGGCTGGTGGCGGAGATGGCGGCGGCGGAGGTGCCGCTGGACGGGCGGGACCACCACGGCAACACGGCGCTGCATCTGGCGGCCCGGTCTGGCAACTCGGGGGTCTGCTCCGTGTTGCTGCAACACGGTGCTGACCTCACGCTCAAGGTGGGTGTTGCTGCAACACGGCGCTGACCTCACGCTCAAGGTGGGTGTTGCTGCAACACGGCGCTGACCTCACGCTCAAGGTGAGTGTTGCTGCAACACGGTGCTGACCTCACGCTCTAGGTGGGTGTTGCTGCAACACGGTGCTCTAGGTGGGTGTTGCTGCAACACGGTGCTCTAGGTGGGTGTTGCTGCAACACGGTGCTCAAGGTGGGTTGCTGAACCAGTCTTGCAAGGTGTGCCCTGACGTGTCATTATTAGGACAATTTCACCCATTCAGTTTTCCGATGCCAGTTCATTGTTTATCCTTTACGTTTATTACTAATCAATGGTACCATAAGTAATTATTGATAACTAACTATTATTATTATGAGTAATTATTAATAACTAAATATTATTTTTATGAGTAATTATCGATAACTAATTATTGTTAGCATTAGTAATTATTGATAACTAGTTATTGTTTCCATGAGTAATTATTGATAGATAGTTATTGTTAGCAATTTAATTATTAAAAGTATTAATTTGTTTTTCCCCCCAGAACGACCTGGGCCAGAAGGCGTGGGAGGTGTGCGTGGTGCGTGGCCATCCTGCGTGCGCCGAGTACCTCTGCGTGCACGAGGCTGGTGCGTGCCATGTGGTGGCCATGTGGCGGCCATGTGGCGGACATGTGGCGGCCATGTGGTGGACTGGTCCATGTGGTGGACTGGTCCATGTGGTGGACTGGGCCATGTGGTGGACTAGTCCATGTGGTGGACTGGTCCATGTNTCAGGGGTCATGGGTGACCTCGGGTCATGGGTGACCTCAGGGGTCATGGGTGACCTCGGGTCATGGGTGACCTCAGGGGTCATGGGTGACCTCGGGTCATGGGTGACCTCAGGGGTCATGGGTGACCTCGGGTCATGGGTGACCTCAGGGGTCATGGGTGACCTCGGGTCATGGGTGACCTCAGGGGTCATGGGTGACCTCGGGTCATGGGTGACCTCAGGGGTCATGGGTGACCTCGGGTCATGGGTGACCTCAGGGGTCATGGGTGACCTCGGGTCATGGGTGACCTCAGGGGTCATGGGTGACCTCGGGTCATGGGTGACCTCAGGGGTCATGGGTGACCTCGGGTCATGGGTGACCTCAGGGGTCATGGGTGACCTCGGGTCATGGGTGACCTCAGGGGTCATGGGTGACCTCGGGTCATGGGTGACCTCAGGGGTCATGGGTGACCTCGGGTCATGGGTGACCTCAGGGGTCATGGGTGACCTCGGGTCATGGGTGACCTCAGGGGTCATGGGTGACCTCGGGTCATGGGTGACCTCAGGGGTCATGGGTGACCTCGGGTCATGGGTGACCTCAGGGGTCATGGGTGACCTCGGGTCATGGGTGACCTCAGGGGTCATGGGTGACCTCGGGTCATGGGTGACCTCAGGGGTCATGGGTGACCTCGGGTCATGGGTGACCTCAGGGGTCATGGGTGACCTCGGGTCATGGGTGACCTCAGGGGTCATGGGTGACCTCGGGTCATGGGTGACCTCAGGGGTCATGGGTGACCTCGGGTCATGGGTGACCTCAGGGGTCATGGGTGACCTCGGGTCATGGGTGACCTCAGGGGTCATGGGTGACCTCGGGTCATGGGTGACCTCAGGGGTCATGGGTGACCTCGGGTCATGGGTGACCTCAGGGGTCATGGGTGACCTCGGGTCATGGGTGACCTCAGGGGTCATGGGTGACCTCGGGTCATGGGTGACCTCAGGGGTCATGGGTGACCTCGGGTCATGGGTGACCTCAGGGGTCATGGGTGACCTCGGGTCATGGGTGACCTCAGGGGTCATGGGTGACCTCGGGTCATGGGTGACCTCAGGGGTCATGGGTGACCTCGGGTCATGGGTGACCTCAGGGGTCATGGGTGACCTCGGGTCATGGGTGACCTCAGGGGTCATGGGTGACCTCGGGTCATGGGTGACCTCAGGGGTCATGGGTGACCTCGGGTCATGGGTGACCTCAGGGGTCATGGGTGATCTCAGGGGTCATGGGTGACCTCAGGGGTCATGGGTGACCTCAGGGGTCATGGGTGACCTCAATCTGAGTCATAGCAGATTACTGTGGGTGTTAGTGGGTGTGTATTAACACGTTGACTACGTATTGGTACTGATGCGTACCACGAAATGTATTTCTCCAGGACGTAGTGGTACATAATTCAGGTTGCCTAAAGTCGGCCAAATCCGAGAACAAAACAGGCCAAAAATGGTCGATAACTCAATGTATACTAGTTTATTTGTAGGTTCCGCTATAAAAATTCCTTTTATTTTCTTTTTGTAGTATATGAAAATTAATTAGGAAGCACCCCTATCATAAATTTTAGCCGGCCAACGCAATTGAGAAAAACTAAAGCACGGAATTTGTCGCGAAAAAATGACCGTCTGGCAACCCTGCTTAAAAACAGTACAAAAAATGAAATAATAGTACAAGATGAAGCAATCGTAGTCAACGTGTTGAACCTATAATACTTTTCACATCACCTATTATCTATTTTAAAACACCTATTGTACATATTGAGAAAAACAAGACCCTACAGAAGTTCTAGATGAAAATGACATTATTTTCAACTCATCTAAATCTAAACGTCTAAATGATAAACTCATATTTAATGTTATTTTGAGTATTTTTATGTATACTGAAATAACCCTGTGAGAGGTGAACATCGTTCACTATTACACACGTTAATTTTCATCTCGTGTGCATACCGAAAGCAACGTCTAGCGTAGACTCCTCTCTATCCCGCCCTACAGTGAGGTTCATACCTGTTCTCCTCTCTATCCCGCCCTACAGTGAGGTTCATACCTGTACTCACTCCACTCTCAGCATTCCTTGCTCTAACGCTGGAGTCTTGGCTGTGCCGTGAAAGTTTTTGTAAACTGCTCCTCTATCATGAACCTGATGTCACTCTAGTTTAACTCTTAACCGTGCCTGTTTTAGACTGTGCTTTGCTGAATTATTTTAAATAAAATTAAGTTTCGTCCGTGTAACCGAAGTTTTAATGGAACACATTTCAGTGCAATTGAAGTTTTTCTAAGATAGTTGCCGGCATTTGGCCGTGGAGCTCTGAGCATTCTGACAAGTTTACAGGTTGTGGCGAACGTCCGGTGACAACCCTAACACCTCTAACACCACCATAACACCCATAACACCCCCCGACCTCAGGGGTGGCCGGAGACCCCTGAAGGGGTAATGGGTGACCCTAACACCCCCCAACACCCCTAACCCCCCCCCCCCACCACAGGGAGGTGCTGAGCGTAGGGCGGCGGCTGCTGAAGGAGCGGGAGGAGGTGGTGCGCGAGTTCTCCCGCCTGCAGGAGCAGATGAGCGACACCGAGCACCTCGCCTCCGACGCCCTCGCCCTCCTGCTGCGTCAGGACGTCGCCCACGCCACGTACGTTGCGGGGGCGCCGCCCTAAGCCAGGGGCGCTGTCCTAAGCCAGGGGCGCCGTCCTAAGCCAGGGGCGCCGCCCTGAGCCAGGGGCGCCGTCCTAAGCCAGGGGCGCCGCCCTGAGCCAGGGGCGCCGTCCTAAGCTAGGGGCGCCGCCCCGAGCCAGGGACGCCACTGAATTGAATATTGTTGAAAGAGCGTTGATTAAGAATTAATTTTGTTGAATCAGCGTTGATTAAGAATTGATTTTGTTGAAACAGCGTTGATTAAGAAATGATTTTGTTGAAACAGCATTGATTAAGAATTGATTTTGTTGAAACAGCGTTGATTAATAATTTATTACGTTGAAACAGCTTTTATTAAGAATTGATTACGTTGAAATAGCGTTGATTAGGAGTTGATTATTTTGGAACTACGTTCAATCAACCTCATTTCAATAATGAATGCCTGGCGTTATAGTTCTATATTAATAACTAACTAAAATATTATTTGTTCAGTATATATTTAATAATTGAATAAGTAATTAAATTAAATGTCTCATTAGCACATATTGTAATATATAATAAAGTAACTGCCATGTTTGCATTATAATATAGAATATAATAGAAAAGTAACTTATGCCTTTACAGGGAGCGTCTGCAGCAGGCTGTAGAGAGCGCGGCCAGCCTGCAGCAGCGCTGGCGCGCCCACCAGAAGCTCTGGTTCAGCTCCAGCCTCGTCGACCTCAAGCACAGGTGCGCCTGTCTCGCTTGTCTGGTCCGTCTGTTCCGTCTGGTTTATCTGTCTCGTCTGTCCTGTCTGGTTGCTATGGTCGTCTGTCCCGTCTGGTTCGTTTGGTCTCTGGTCGTCTGGCTTGTCTGGTCCGTCTGTCTCGTCTGATCCCTCTGGTCGTCTGGTTCGTTTGGTCTCTGGTCGTCTGGCTTGTCTGGTCCGTCTGTCTCGTCTGATCCCTCTGGCCGTCTGGTTCGTTTGGTCTCTGGTCGTCTGGCTTGTCTGGTCCGTCTG